CCCCTTTTGCAGCTCACAATTGTTGCCCTGTTGTTGTTGTTGTTGTTGTTGTTTTTGTTGGCTTGTCGAGCCCCACTTTCCGTCTCGACATTCAACTTGAGGCGAATTGTGTAAATAATGCGATAGACTTGGCTGGGCACAAGCGCACATCTACATTCCCATCCCCATCTCTCTCCCTACCCCTCTCTCTCTCTCTCTCTCTCTCTCTATCTCTCTCTGTTTCTTTTCGCATTTCGAGCGCCCTATGCGAAAAAGTCTCGCATCAATGCGATATGATTTGATTGCACTTGTGTAGCGGATACAGAAGCGGGCAGCTAATTGAAGTGGCTGCCAGGACATTGATCGGGTCGATTAGACGCCGGTGCTTTGCCAAATAATTGGCCTCATATCGAGATAAAGTCCCACGACCAAGTGGGCCCAAAACTGTTGCCAAAGTGGCCAAACAGACAAAACAACAAAGAAAGATTGCCAAACTGTTCCAATAGCTCGACTAGACTTTGCTCTGTTGCACAGCTGAGTCGAAAGCCTGAGTTGAGCACGGTTTCATTCGAGTGAAAATTTTAACTGAATGTGGGAGCTACGAGTATCTTCAGGAAGAGCATTGACATTTCATTATGTTTAATATCGAATTGTAAAGTTCTGGGCAATATAACCGCTATTATATCCACTTTTAGACTATAGAAGTACGTTTCAAATTTGGGAGCTCTAGCTGCTCTGTAGGCTGAGTTCCTTGAGTCTTTAAGCAATTATGGTTGGTCTGATATAGGTTCAACTACCATGGAACTTGAGCTAATTTATTCCGTATAGAACTACGCATATTCTTATATAGCTCTAGCGGCAATAGAACTCGAGTTCTTTGAGTCTATACAGAAGTAGACCTAGTCTGGAAAGCAATTCATAAATCAAATTACATGAAAACCTTACTAAAGTAAAACTGACTGACTCAAATATACCTTTACCCTAACTTGAAGATATTTTGTCAAGCGATCTAAGGCAACTGTCATATATCCACATTAGGCGCTTGCAATCATTGCAGGGTATTGCCAACAAAAGGCGCTTTTCGCTCTATGCCCCAGAGTTTGTGTGTGTGTGTGTGTGTGTGTCTGTGTGTGCCTGTGACGGCAATGGCAACGCACAGCTGGAGACATGTATTTTGTAAATCATTAGTCAACAAAATGCTGCTATTGCCAGCTACCTCACTGCGTCACTCTGTCCCTCTCCCTCTCTCTCTCTCTCTCCCTCTCTCTCTCTCTCTGTGTCTGTCTGCCTGTCTGATTGTCTATCTGGCCATTATCCTCGTTTTGTCATCAGCAGCAGCAGCCTGCACTAGATTAGGCCGAGTGCAATGTGCGATGTCATCAGCATTAAAGAGCCAACTCAAAAGGCGCACACAGAGATCGTCCAGATTCTTGTGGGGATCTATCAAGGACTGTGCCATGGGTCAGTCAAAAAAAAAAAAAAAAGTCTATATATATATATATATAAAGAAGGTGCCAAGCGGAAAATAACCAAAGAGCAACACACACACTCACACGAGTGCCAGGTGTATGTGTGTGTGTGTGTGACGTTAAAGATAAGCGGGCGAGCGTGTGACGCAGTTGTTCTTGTTGAGGCTGGCAGCAGGTGGAGCAAGCAGAAGCAGAGGCAGAAGCAGAACAAGACGAAGAAGAAGAAGAAGAAGCAGAAGAAGAAGAAGGTCCTGGTGCTGCTGGCTAATGATGCTAACATTAGGAGGCGCGTTTTATGTGTGTGCACGTAACGATGCTTACTCAACACACACACACAAACATAGACAGAGAAAGAGACAGAGACAGAGACAGACACACAGTATGAATGTCAAGGCAGCGCTGCGTTACATAAGCGACGCACAAATGTATGCTACGCTTTCTCTTCTTCTTCTTCTTTTTTTGTTTGATGATGGCCACACAACAGAGGTAAAGCAATCTCTCTCTCTCTCTCTCTCCCTCCCGCTCTCCCGCTCTCTCGCTCCCACTCTATCCCTCTTGCCTTGCTGCTGTTTGCCATCTCAAAAGCCATAAGCTTCGCCAAATTAACATGACGAAATGATGGCAACAACTACAACAACAACAACAACAGCATCAGTTGAGCAATGAGTGAATGGATGCCTGGCTATAGATAACAGCTGAAGGATGGGCTAGCATTCCAGTTAGTGGGTCCACACATATGCAGCACATATGATAGAGGCTTTAATAGACCTAGTCGCCCAAAAACCTCTATACAGCTCTTTGCTTAGCATGTGACAAGTGCCTTATAGATAAGAAGAAACCAAATACCACACACACACACACACAGAGAGAGAGCTGTATCACATGTGTCGCATCTTGAACAAAGTGGCTCAACGAATGCTACAAAGGTGGCTACCCCAAGAGAAAAGAGGGAATTCGGAAAGTTTAGCATCAGGCAGCGAAGTCAAGTGGTTTTCAATTGATTTATGCCAACTGCGGCTAGGACATGAGCAACTGAGCCAAGTTGGGTAAGAAACCCAAGCAACTCTGCATAACGTGTTAGCAATGATGACAATGATGATGACGATGATGATGATGACGATGATGATGATGACGATAGTAATTATAATGATGATGATGACTATCGAAACAAATGTAGTAATCAATAATCAATAATCCATATAATCAAAAATTAATAATACTAATATTAATGTTAATGACAATGATAATGCTAATAATAATTATAATGCAGCTGCTAATAAATATGAAAATTACAAAAAATGACAATAATAATGAATAATGACAATGATGATACTACTACTAATGCTAATACCAATGACTGTAATGATGATAATGAATAATACTAATGTTAATTGAATAATGAAAATAGTATGAATATAACAATAAAGACAATAATGAGTAATAATGCCGCTAATGATCAGCAATAATAATGATAAGGGTCAGCACAATATAAATAATAATAACCAATAGCAAACAAGACAACAATGATAATTATGGTAGTCATGACAGTCATTATGTATGACGATAAGAATAACAATTACATTACAGTGCAATGAATATCAAATGATATGTAAATATTACAATCTATTTAAAGAACAAACAAAAATAGAAATAAATGTCAAATGCCAAAGCAGCTGTCAACCTAATCAAGCTGTCCGTTAAGAGAGCTTTCACTGTAGTAGTAGTAGCTGTGATGTCTGTCAAGTCGAGGTCTATACTCTGCTCTGCTCTGCTCAGCTCATATTCAAGTTGAACTTTAAGACAAGCCCAAAAGATTATAAGATTTTCTGTACTTGTGAATTAACGTTATTTTATTTGCATGTGAGTGTGGGTGTGTCAAAGTGTATGTGTGTGTGTGTGTGCAGGAGCAAATGCGATTGCATGCCGCACATTTTTGGGCACAACTGTTGAGGCTTTTAGGGTATTGGGCACAAAAAACACATAAAGACAGAGTGTCATACACAAGGAAACTGAAAGAGAAAGAGACAGAATGGTAGAGCGAGAGAGAGAGAGAGAGAGAGAATGAGTGTGTGTGGGTAAAGCAACAACATGAAATATTCAAAATACGACATGTAACTGTCATAATCAAGGAGCGGCTAGCAAAAACTGTCCAAGAGCCAAAAGCCAAACAGGACAGGATTGCAAAGCAGTCGAACGAAGGAGAAAGCGGAGAGAGTAGGGAGCGCAGCCAGAGGAAACTAGTAAAAATCTTCCACTCGAAACTAACTGAAACTAACCCTCCATAGTTATAGTTTAATATCTGTTTAACATGTGAGTGGTGTAGCAGCGAGAGACAATTATTGTTGTTGCTATTGTTGTTGTTGTTGCTATTGTTGTTGCTGTTGATGTTTTAGCCACAAAATCCCCAAAGTGATTATATTAATACAACATGAGCCACAAGTGTGCTGCATACATTCAAGCAAAAAACCTCAAAAACTATGCCAACTTTACACACACACACACACACACACACGCACACACAGGCGAGCCGTTTAGTGCCCTGTGTATTTGTGTGTGTGGATGTGCGTCAAGTCTTGTTCAAAGCGAATCAACATAAAATATAAAATATACATAAGCCAACGAGCTAACTGTAATAAAATAATAATAAAAACACAAAAAAAAAAGAACGAGGCAACAAAAAAAAAAGTGACGAAGCGCAGATACTCTATTAAAAAAATTTGTTGTTTAATTTATTACCTTTTTTGCTCATTTCTGTAGAATAATAATGAAAATGAGACAAATAGCTTTAATTTAGTTTTGCTTGAAGTGACGAAGCGCGATTACCCTATAAATTATTGTATTCAGATCTTTTGATATGACTACGTCTATACAACTGCTTCCGTTTCTTAACAAAGTTTTCTTTGTTACTCTATATTCTACATCCCCATTAACTCCAAGATGTAGGTATATACGTAGGTATGACTAACATTGAAACACACTTCGTATGTTTGTTCTGTTTCTTTCGATATATGATTAACCAGCTCTTGAGTAATTTAGTAGGAAGAGAAAATAACAAAGAACAGATGTCCATATGCACTACTAATATACCCACTGAACACCGCTCGAAACGCGATTTCATTGCATTGTAAAATGCTGTATCTAAAATTATGCCAAAGAAAATTAACTTCTCATGCGTTAATATACGCACAAAGAAGTCAAAGGCGAATCGGAAAGGCAATAGAAATTCAAGCATCAAATCATATTTCGAATTGCCTAGATACAGGAGAGAAGAGTATCTGAAAGAGTATACGACGAGCTGATGCCTTATAAAGTATTTCACATACTCCATATGGGATTTACTAGTGCAATTATTCCCTACTCGATGAGCTCGAGATACTCTACTTTCTCTTTCTCTACATTTTGCTCAATCACTCACATGATCAACTTTGCCTCAATTGAGAAAACCAACACCGTTTCGTCAGGTGGCAACGCTGTCAGCACCAGCTGCTAAAGTTGCTGTCAAAAATGCTGACAGGCAGACGTTAAAGTGCCTGTCAATTTGTTGCAAAGCAAGAAATTGATTTTTTCTACTTACGGCAAACTTGTTTTTTTTTCGGTCGATCGGAGGGCGTTCTTCAAACTGCAAAGAGAGAAAAAACATAAACTAAAATTAATGAAAATAATTTAATACAATTTGCAGTTCATGTTGGGTGCTTTAAACTGAAAGCTAAGCAACTGTTGTTCGGGCTTAACAAGCTGCTTGAGTGGGAGGAAACGTAAAACTGAGATTTACCTAATTAGATTCAGCTACGTCAGAGTCAGGGCACATGTACAGCAGTGTGTGTCTGTGTGTGTGTGATGGTGTGTGTGTGTGTGTTGAAGCCAGAGAGAGTTCCCTGAACTTTTCACTCTGCGCAATTGTTGCCCAAGTTGTTGCTGCTGTTGGCCTTAATTTGGTGAATCCAAGCGATGTTTGAATGTACACACACACACATACACACATACACACATACATCCTTACAGATACAGACACACAGGCATATATATATGCTTTTTATGATTATATATACATATATACATGATGTGAGTGCGAGGCAACATAAAAGGCGCGCGAGGCACAAAAAAAAGCAAGCATGTGTTGTTCAGTCGGGCGTCATGGACTGCACAATACTCATTCATGGCTCGAAAATAAGTAAAATGGAGAAAATGGAAAATTCGGAATAAGAAATCTCTAGCAAAATAAATGTTCAGCTTGGGGGTTATAGTTCAAAAATTTCTTGTTTGATGATCTATATACAATTTCTCCTGACTTGTCATGCTTCAAATGAGCATATTTGACAAATCTATAAATTAGTTTAATAGTAACATAGTCTACACGAGTATATGTAATCCAAATTTTAGTTATATATTAATTAAATTCTACTAGATATATTACATACATATTTCGATCAAAGTGTAAATTTTTCAAATTGCAAGTCTCTAAGCTTCAATAGCTGCCAATTATTTTGTTTTCATACGGCTGGGTAGACTATGCTTAGCAAGCCAATAGGCTCGCTTGCTCAGTTGGCGAATGAGTATAAAAATTAAAGAAGTCGCATTCATATCTTTGACTGTCTGTATGTGAAGGTCGCTAGTGTTGCTAGCGTTGCTGCACTCTAACTGTATCCAGCACACACACACACACACACACACACACACACACACATTATATATATATATATATATATATATAAAGGAATTGCCCCATAGCTGTGCCTAATGAACTAAATTTCCATTTCTTTGCTCACACTGGCTCTGGCAGTGCCAGTGCCTTTGCCTTGAACGTTTTCTGGTTGAGCTGCTTCTGTGCCGCTGTTGCCAGCGTTGCCAGCGTTGCCAGATCGTTGGCATGAGCAGCTCCCACTTTGCTGTTTAGCTCCCGCTCGCTGCTGGGGCCACATTAACCTCTTTGTTAATCATTTATAAACAAATGCTAATCAAATAAAAAACACAGCTGGCAAACCAGGTGAGCCCAGCTGAGTTGAGTTGCAGCCAAGTCGTAGCCGTAGCCATAGCCGTAGCCATAGCCGTGGCTAAGCCCTGAGTCAAGGCACACGCGGCTATGCAAATAAACAGCCAGCAAATGAGCAGCGAAAATGGCGGAAACGAAATGGCAAAAGCAAACACAACCGACAGAAAAACCAGAATGACATGAAATACACACAAAAGGATGATGAAGGAGAAGAACAAGGAAAAGTAGGAGAAAATACACAAGTTGCCAAAAGCACACAGCGTGTGGATGTCTGTGGAACAAGGAAATGCAGCAGCAAACAAAAACACAACAAAAATATATAAAAACTTAAGCGAACTTTTTTTAATACTTCACGAATGGCCACGAAGGTCTTAAGGAAACGCCCCCGTTTACCATCCCCACCACCCCCCTCTCCCGTTGGCACGCCCACACCAAATTCGACAAGAATGAAAGCTGCTTAAAAGGAACATCAAAGTTCATAAGTTATCAATAAATTGCAAACTATAAAGTTTGTCTCTCACGCTCTAGGCATGCTCATCGAATCCATCGAAGTTCAGCTCTGTCTTGTCGCAGACAAGTAAGGGGTATCTGAGTAACGAAATATTCGTAGGCTGTATATATTTGAGTAGAAGCTGCATATACAATTTTATATATATAACTCTTTAAGATTTCGAGAAATGCTGGAAGAATCCATTTAAGTATCTAATACATATGTTTCGAATCCATCTATCGAGTCTCTATAGGTGCAGTAAAAGGACGAATAGAAATTTTGATTTTCTTTAAACGTGTTGTCTGAAACCCCTTTAAAGTCTTTAACCGGTATATTGTTATAATAAAACCTGGCCGGAAAGTATAACTCGTAGCTTCTGGGTGCGAAATCGAGTCGAAAATGGAATTGTTAATTTGATTTGAATCAATTTCTCGCTTCTGTTTTTTGAGAAGTCAACACGAGGGCAAAGCTCGAGCTGGGTTTTCATGAATATTTTCGACTCGCTTATAAATTTAAATAATCCCCATCAACTTTACACGGCAGAAGCACTGCAAATTGCATTTTGAGCTGTCACGCGTTGCCTTCTGTCGGCAGGACGAGACGTGGACCAGAGCCTGGACCTGGACCTGGACCTGGACCTAGACATGGACATGGGCATGGGCTTGGCTTCTATTGACTTGCTAAAACTTTTAATCAATGCTAAAAAGTGAAAAGGGGGGAACGAAGAAGCCGAGGCGGATGAGATGCTATGGCCTTTGAATGGAATACGAGCATGCCATGTAAAAGGGGTTAGGCGTGCAGAGGGAGCGGGGCGGGGCTGGGTGTCCTGGCTAAGGTCGTGGCAATTTCACAACTGCTTTCATATGCAAAAGATTCCAGTGGCGCTGGAGCGCATAATTAGTTTGGCCAGCTGTGTCTGTATGCGACTTGGCTTAGTTTCAGCTTTGCGCTTCCATTTCATCTACTCCTTCACTCTAGCCTCTATTATCTGTCCTCTATCCGGGCATCCTTATCTGGGCATCCTGTTGCTTCTGGAACTATTTAGCCCAGTTTTATGGTTTGGTTGCCAGGACGCTATCGCTCGCATTTCCTTTTGGCCCCCGCCTCTAATGATATTTTAATTAATTATGTGCGCCAATCTTGGCAACAAGACACTTGGCTCACTTTATCCGCTTATCAATCTAACGGTTTATCAGTCTATCAATTTGCTGCCTTGTTTCCCAGCAATTGGCTGAAACGTTAAGCCAGCGCTTGAGCGTTTCAAAAATTTGTAGCCAACAATCGAAACGAGCAGCCTTGAACTTTATGGAATATTCCCATTAAGCCGCGGATCAAAGGTCATGACTGACTATTACAAAGTTCCGGCTTGGGTCCGAAGCATATTAACTAGGCTTACCATTAGGCTTGCTCTGTTTGCTAATAAATATCGACGGATATCACATTTATGTTAACTTATTCGTAAATTTAATTTACTTTCTGTACTTCAAGTTTAATCTAACTTATCGATAACTTTCACTCAATGTAACATATATAGTTTTCTTCACATCTAAAGCTGGGGTATCTCTGAGTCGAGTATGCGCAACTGCAACTTTCACACAATGCTCTTTCGATACTTTCATTTATAGTTATTGGAGGTAATTGCCTGCCAGGCGCCAACGCAACTCTCACTCATATTTCCCCATATACGCCCCCGTTTCCTGCCCGGCATGTTCACGCTTTATCAGCAACTATGTTTGATGCCTGTCAACGCCACGCCCCCCTCCTGGCAAGCGGCAAGCGGCCTCGTGCCGCCTGCCCTTTGCTCTCTATTACAAAATTGGCCGTTGGTTTGTTTGCAAAGCGCTCAAACTGTCAAAATGGCGTGTGGCGACAGGCAACAACAGCAGGCAACGAACAACGGACAACAACAACAGCAACCGTGTCAATAAGTCAATAGTGTAATTTCTCATTTCATATTTTCCCCAGCTACAAACATATACAAGCCTACATAGTGATAAATATGCACATATATAAGTATAGACTATAATAGTTGGGTACGAGAACTTCTCGACCCTTTACTGCTTTTGCCTTTCGAAACTTTCGAAAAACAATTCGTAACGTTTTCTTTTTTTTTCTATTTCAGCTTTAAATAGCAGCAAAATCTTTGACATTTGTTTACTTGCCTTGTACCTCCCTCTTTAAGCTTCTTAAAACAGAGAAAGTTTCAAAAGCGCGTAGCAAACTGCTTTAATTTTACTCTAAAATGTAATAATGAAAGAGAAACTCTTCAATAATAAATATAAGTACATATTATCAATATTGAATTGCTATATAGATTTTAGGACGTCTACTTCATAATAGTAATTATATAGTTCTCAGGAGACAAGGCTCTAAGGTTGAGCTCCTAAGAAATTGATACATATTCATTTGGGAAACCGGTGCCAAACAATATGTATGTATGTCTTGAACATACCCAACTACTATAAGGTTCTTAGAAAAGAATCTAGAAATAAATAAGTATTTTGAAGAAGAGAGAGAAAAAAGGAGAAAGAAGCAGAGTTGCAGAGTGTGAGAATATTTGTAAACCGATTTTCCTTTTTACATTAGCCAAACTACAAAGAGAGAAGCATTAAATTTAAGTGAGAGCTTTGTAGAGAGACAATGAGAGAGAGAGAGACAGAGAGAGACTCTGTAAAGTTTATTTTGCTCCTACAATCAAAAGGTATTCGTTTTTCGTATACTTCTTCGAAGCCAGACATTTTAATGTCTCTCTAGAATTTTAAGTTAGCTGAATTCCATAGTTATATCTACGTAGATAGTCTATTTCACAGACTTCTGCTCAAATTCAATCTTCGTATACAATCCTACCAACAACCAATTGCTCGAATCTTTCAACCGAGTAGAAGTTAATGTTCTGTGTTTACGTATCTCAAACTAAAAGTTTCACAAAAGAATAAAACGAAAACAAATGAGCTTTGCTCTTCGCTTCGAATTTCAAAAGTTTAGTTTGAAAGGATATTGAAAAAACTTTTCTCACTTTTCTTTCAAATTACCAAATAATAATAAAAGACGAAAAAAAAAGGTAAAACAAATTTTCCGTCAGATCAAATGTGCTTTGGATTTCAATTCAGGGATAAACGTACGTAAGCGTATATAAGTTTGTGAGTTGGAATTGTATGTCTGAGTGTGAGCATTTATAGAGACTTTTCGGAGCTGAAAAATAGGAATTTTTTTTCCCATTTGGAATGAACACAACTAAACACATAACATATACATACATAAACATAAATACAAACATATATATTTAAATATATATATGCAAGATCAAAAGCAATATCTGCAGTTTCTAGTTCACGTAGTATAGATAGCGCGCGAAAGACGGTAAGTAAAAGTCTCGAAAGCTAACGAACTTCCTCTCACTACTAGCCTTCATCCCTGCCTGCCTGTTAGGCAAGGTCATGTCATCAAAGGACACACTGCAGAATAATAACAGCAATTTGTGCGGCATGGAGCAGAATCTCAATCAAGACATCGATGAGCTGAACTCAACATTTGAGAAACTGATGCGTCCACATAAATCAAAGTACGCCTATCTACGGCCCTCAACATCGCCAATACTTACTGACCCCATCACCCCGAGGCAGCAGCCAAATGCCATCCAAACAGTGGCAACAGCAACCACACCTCAGCCGATGGATATACCGAGTCGTATGAGAGCTATTAAAGTTTTCAACGTAATGCTCGCCCGTCTCTGGCGTCGTCGTTGCGCCGAGGTCTGTGATTTGCATGAGCTGGTTCGCAAATATCAAATCAAGGTGAGCATTGCAAAGCAGGTTCAAATTCCATTAGACCATAGTTTGACTTCCTAATGAAGGAAGGTACGTGATAGACACGCTTTAACTTCAACTCAGATCTGTAAACTGCACTCGGATGAATCTCTTTATCTCTATGGCTCAGCAGTGAACTATTTTGTAGACATAATCCGATTTAGTTACCAAATCGAAACACCATCTTGTGTTCTTCAATTTATCTCTCTCCAAAATTGTGAAAATATTTTTCTCATGACAAAGTTTTCCAAGGCAAACCATCAAAGCTGGTTCATCATCAAAAAATGAGGTTGATCTCTTGATTTCAAGCGCTAACCATAGTTAAAGCTCCTTGAGAAGCGGAATTGCATTATAAGACAATAATACAATAATCTATCTACTATAGAGTTTTTAACAAAGAAAGTTACAAAACTAAGCTCTTAGGAATTATCTTTTATTTAAACAATATATTTGGATGAATCTTAACCTAAATTCTACATAGTTTTTAACAAAGTATCCTTCCATGCTTATCTAATTAGCCTTGCATAAACGCAATAAATAGATCTATAGCTATAAATTGAGAATTTATAGATAAATATGCGTCTCTTTTATATCGAATATGCATAGATATTAAGAGATACCTTTTGGGAGGATTTCACAGGTAGTCTTATGCATGCTAATTTTATATTATATACTTCCAGGCTAGTACAATGAGAGATGACTTATTCATGCGCAACAGGATGATCTGCAAGGAGCAGAGACGCTGCGATCGTCTCGAAATGGAGCTACGTGAGGTAAAATATGCTGCAGAGCTGCGCTCCCAGGGATGTATTAGCGTTGAGAATGCTTTGAATGCTTTGCGTCGCAAGGAGGCAAAGCTGCGCCGTGAGCTGCGCGTCAAGACACAGGAATGCAATAGTTTTGCAGAATTGCTTAACGCCACAAAGACCGAAATGTTCCAGGAGTTGACCAAGTTTCGCGAATGCGCCCACGAATTGGCCGAACAACAGCGCCAGAATCGCGTTCTCGAGATGCGTAATGCCGAACTGGAGGATGAGGTAATGCTCTCCCTCTCTCTCTCTCTCTCTCTCTCTCTCTTTCTCTCTATCGCTTCTCATTAAAATATATCGATTACTTAGCTATTGACTCTGAAAGATCGCTTCCAAGCACAACACGATGATATCGTTATTGCTGTACATTCAAAGCAGGAAAAAATCGATAAGGCCTACGAGGCACTGAAGGGCTACGAACAGGAATTGGCCGAACTAGAGCTGTAAGTATAAATGTTTTAACTCTATCACTTGGTCTGTCATCTCTCTCTCGTTCATCTCTTACTGATTCTTATTCATTTTCTCTCCAACAGTAAACACGCAGAGCTGCTGAGAGAGACCCGAAACGATCGAATTGCACAGGAGATCAAGAAAATCGAACGCAAAATCGGAATGGTTCGATATGTGATCTATTTCATCAATCCGTATCGCTGGCGCGTGCTGCGCTCGATTTGGCCAAGCTTGAGGCTGATTGCGCATGAAATTGTTGCCAGATTTTTTAACGTCCCAATCCGTAAGCCCATATCGATGCCAAAAATGTCAGTCGCATCGGTGGGCATCTGTGTCACAATCATCTTGTTTATCGGCGCCGTGTTTTGACCACATATATACACAGATATGTATGTATATAGATATATAGTTAAATATCAAGTCGGCTGTATGAGAGACTAGTTAGGCCACATCGTGAAACAAATTTCTATATAGATCTATATATATATATTAGATCAGTGAATGTTGTAATTTCAGTTGTTACTTATCGCTTTCGTTTTCATCTCTTCTATATTTTTTCCTTTGCAAGTGAATCACTAGATCCAAGTCTAAAAATTTTTGTCAGATAAAGTAATCGAAATTTATATTTGAATGAATCCCTTATCCCTTATCTACATGTAAATGCTTACAGTACTGAAGTAAGCATGTCTAACGAGTATAATCTGTATATTATATACATATGTATACATGCATATATATATTTATATGTATCTATATATATGTATATGTGTGTTCAAATATAGAAGAATCAAATTGTATGATAATATTAGCACAAATAATAGTCTAGAGCGACAATAAAATGTATTTCAAATGTGAGAAATATCAATATGTTGATGATTGTTTTGGTTATACCCTATAATGCAGCGCAAGAGGGTATGCTGGAGGATGAAAAACATTCCAGAAAGTTAAGTTATGTTCTAGAGAGCATGTATATCAGAAGAGCACGTCTAATAAATCAAATTATACCAAAACGTATGGATATACATTAATCGATTTACATACATATATGTATGAATGTATGTGTATCTAATTCAAAACCAAGGTACTGTGTAAAGTCTAGCTAACATAAAGATTTGCTTATGTGATTAATTGATAACCTACTCGATTTATCGATATACGTCGGAATTTGTACAAAGGTATATATTAACTTTATCTTATCTATAATTAAAAGCTTATACAAGCAAAGCAATCCACAGAGTATTTGCTAGTCCATCACTATTCAGACACACTGTCACTTATTATTAACCCAATTAGTGCATAATACTATAATTGTCACCACAGGTAGGCAGATAGGGGGTGTTGGGATGGGGTGGTGCCCTGAGCCCATCCGACCACAAAGACAAACAGCTTCTGACATTTGCACAGCTCGTTCGATGAATTGAACTGTGCAATGTGCCAATGGAAATGGAAATAGAAAAGGGTAATGGAAAATGGTGGAAAATATTCTCATCAACTAATGTCAGACAACAACAGCAGCCATGAAATGTGAAAGGTGCAAACCGTAGCGCGACTTTAATTAAACAAAATAGTTTGTAATGTAATTCAATATGCCGCATGTTCATCTATATATACATACATGTATACAGAGGTATGTGTGTGCGCGTGTGTGTGTGAAAAGCATATAAAACTATCAGCAAACACCTGTCGACTGTTTGCATATCGTCGACTCTAGAACTTTAGCGCGCTTGTAAAGCGAATGCTGTCTGTTTGTTAATTGCTGTTAAAGAATTAATATGTCAATTAAATACTTGATTATTAGCTTTAATAGAGAGAACATTAACAGTATAAAGTCAACGAGTCTATGCCTATATCTAATTAGTCTGGACATTCAATCAGATCTAACTATACTACGGACTTATAAATTTAATCTTCTTTCCCATTCGGATCTGTGCTTCCGCACATTTCAGTACTAATTATTATAATTAAAACTGTATTATCATCTTAATTTTAATTTGTTTTGCCATTATATCACATAATATCTGCATAATATGTATATTATCAACATGTTTGTGCATTTATTCTAATCAAAGTATTTTTTGCTTATTCTTTATGTGCGAATTCGCCAAAGTATAACACCTTTTTTACCTGTTATAGAAAAAAGTGGTTAAAGTGCTTGTGGCTTGTTCTCTTACAGTTTGAGCAGCACTTTACGCAATCCAAAATCACTCACCGTCGCAATGGCGCGCTTTTGCTCTCTGTCACTCTCTCTCTCTCTCTATTGCTCCCCTTCTCTCTTCACACTCTGATATCTTACGTTCGTTTTTGTGGCTGGCTGCTCTTTAAGCAATTGCCACATGCTCGTTGCAAATTTGTTGCATTTTTAGCTAAAGCACGCGCACACTTACACAAATAAAAAAAAAAAACAAGCAAAAAAAAAAACACACACACACGCAAACAAACAATATTTGGAGATCAGACCAATAACAATAACAACAACATTTTGGATAGCGTCGCGCACTTTTGCCTGCCTGCTACCTTGTGTATAAGAAGTAACTGTATTTAAAGCTTCTGTATTTTGCCCTGCCAAACAATCGAAACCGAAACACGTTGCCGTCGTCGCCGTCGCCGTGACGCGGCTTCTATGTGCTCATGCTTGTCTATGCGTGTGTGTATATTTGTTCTTTGGATTTTCGTTTGTTTTGTGTTTATCGGGCAATGTGCGCGAGTGCGAGTGCGAGTGGGCTAACGGGAAAAGCTCAGCCAAACAACTGACCGGCTGAGAGCGCCACAGCAATGGATACGCGCTCGCCATGCAGTCGCTACCGCTGCCGCCGCCGCCGCCAGCGCCATCATTCGTTTATCAAAGCCCAACGAAAGTGTAAAAAGGAGAGTGTGGTGAGAACACAAATGTGAGCGTATGCGTGGCTAACGATCTGCCGATCGCGAGAGCGCGAGAGTGCATATTTGCTAAATTCGCTCACAGCATTTTATATGCATATCTCTATCTTTATACGAGCCTGCGCGTGTGTGTGTGCAATGAGTGTGCGGCAATTGTTTGTTATTGTAGCTTTATTGCACAATCTTTACATCAAGCAGCCAGGCAAACAAGCACAAAAAAAAAGTATAACAATCACGAAAAACCGATGGCGAAATACCCTGTAATCCATGTATTTTTGTATATCATTGAAATGTCTTTCAATAGAATATATGTCACGTTGCTTTTTATATCAAGAAATTTATCATAATGACGCAGAAGATTATATTTGTTTGTGCGTTATATAGTTCCTACATTAGATTTGGATAGGGTATAGCAGATTTACCCGTCAAGCGGCCACTTTCGCTGCGATGCAAATTGCAATTGCCCTACAACTGTGAACATATGAAAAAAGGAACAAGTGGCTGCAATGCTTGCCAGTGCTACTCAAACTTTAGCATGCAGCAGTGAGCAGTGTGCAAAGAGAGCGTGCGAGACCGAGAGAGGGAGTGTGTGTAAATTTTGTTTTTGCTTTATTTATAATGGGCTTTTGCACAATTTACTTTTGTATATGCTTTGTATGCCAGTCAGCCGCCTTCTCACACCTCTCTCACACTGTCGCTCTCGCTCTCGCTCTGCCTTTCGCTCCATTCAATTGTGTTTGCGTCGGCGTGCATAAGTAAATTTCTTCTAATTTAATATTTTGTTTACATTATTTATTTATTCATTTACTTATGCATGTATCTGGTGTGCTCGACCGAATGACTCCCTCACTCGCTCTCGCTCTCGCTGTCTCTCCCTCTCCCTCTCTCTTTCTTAACGCATTTCACCTGCCAGTCGACGTCGCTGCTTTTATGCTAATTGAAGCTGGGAGTCAGGCTGATGATGCTGATCTTACCGAACGGTGACAAATTTACAACAAGAAAAAGAAGAAGGCATAGTATGTACTGATATTACCGTTACACGCAAATATGTATGTGAAGCAGTCTCGATTGAAGTTTGAAAGTAACTGTAAAATAGTTTTGCTCATTTATGGGACCAATCAGACATGTAAATTTCTGGAAGGGAAAGGGAAATAAATGGGAGGGACATTTAGAAAATAAGGGAAATAATTTAAATTTGGGAATGAAATCGTTGGGAAATATTTGTATGTACATATATAACAGAGTTATTTACTTAAAATAGATTTTTTTTTTTTTTTTTTAAATTTTAAATTTCATATTATATAAGTATTTGTATAAATACTCATATATATAGAAAACGGAGGGAACTATAGAAAATATATGTGTATTTTGTTATTGTAGAAAGTATTTTATACTTGTGGTTTGGGTTTGATATTCATATATTCATTGGCGAAGTGAAAACACGTTTATTGGCTTTGTGTAAAATTTGTCATTATGTCAAAATTCGTCATACACTCAAGTCAATAACATCCGTATAGAAATATTTAGTATATACAGATGAGTATACGCTTGAAGGTGAAAAAAAGAAATCAGAATAAGGAATGATATCTTCTAAAGCTTCAGAGCTAGATACTTAAAATAATAAATGATTCCGATAGTATAAACCTCCTTTAAGAAGTTGGCAAGCTTTATGCCACTTTGGAGACGGAGATATTAAAAAAGACCAGTATATATGTATATTCATTTAAAATTTATATTTTTCAACATATATATATATATATAGTTCTTCATTCTAGATTTTCGTGTCAAGTAGAAAACTGAACTTGAAACGACATTGCAACTTTTATTGAATAGGTGTATATGTGTTTGGTTTACGATACAAGTATGATGCATCTCTCGTTTCACATAAAATGTGTTCGCTAGAGAAATAAAAAACCTTTGCTTTGTTCGGTGAGACATTATACTAACAAATATAGGATTACTAATGGTTATAGTAGAGACCTCTTCAATTTCAATTTTAGTTATAATTTTGTATTTATTTACCGCTACTCGATTTTCCCCTTTGAAAGCTTGCAAGGAGAACCCCTAAGCGAACCGGAAATCGCCTCTTGCCTTTCACAATTACCCTTGGGTAATTTATTCCTGGAACTAGAAAGTTGAAGTCAACTATTTCTGCTTTGAGGAATTTTTTCCGTATTCTGAGAAGCGAGAAACATAAGAGAAAATTCTTTGAGCTCCCGAAAAGTATTCGATATTACTTTTACTATTTTTTTTTTTAGATTTAATTAAATTGAGGTCATTATGGATGGAAATTCTGAATTAGATAAGTTAATTTTCGCATACCCTCGAACATAGTATGCTATGCTATGATGACTGTCTAGGACTGTAGCAGTTGCTAACGATAGTTATAAAAGGATCATCAGTAGAATATATATTATAAATATATGTTGAGAATTTACTGCAGTCGGACACACCCCTGGTATCAATTTCAGTTTACAGAGTATCATTTGTAGAGTTCTCAGATAAATGAATCTATGCGATAATGGAAAATTGCAATTTCTAGGTAACGGCAAAAACAACGTGCAAAAGGAATGCGAAAAAAAATGGGAACTGAACGGCAAACGACGCCGACTGCGACTGCGGCTGTGATGTCCGTAACTGTAAATGCAATTGCGTGTGGGCGCATGGCCAAGGACGCAGTCGAGAGGATGCGAAATTCAATGGGCATGAATAGAGGCATAGCGAAAGAGCAAGACATAGGCCAGGGGCCAGAGGCGTGGGGCAAGCGGCAAGGGCAAGGGGGCAGTCCAGGGTTAGGTATGCTGCGTGCGACTGACAGTTGCGGACATTTTAATTAGTTATTTTTGTGCTGCTTTTTCGCATTTTTTTCTCTTTTTTTTGCTTGTTGGCTGCATTCGAGTTGCGCCTAAAAGCGCGCTGCAAAAACAAAAAACAACAACAACATGAATTGCCGCACTCACACACACGCACGCACACATAAACATATAACGGACAAACTTAACAGGAACTCACACACACACACCCACACTCACGCACACACAGGGACGCAGCGAGATAAAGGAGGAGAGAGCGAGAGCGAGGTAACGCGCGCATAAGCTAAAATTCTATGCAATGCAAATGTTTTTTGTTTTTTTGGTTTGTTTTTGTCTTCTAGCTTTTAACTAATATTTTGAATGCTTACCGCTGTCGGCGCTGACGCTGGCTTCTGCTGCGCTACCGCTGCTGCTGTAAATACTGTCTGTGATTTCTTGTTTATATTATCTTGTTTGGCATTTTGTTGTTGTTTTTATTATTTATATTTTTTTGGTAATTGCTGCAACACATGAAAAAATTGCAAAAAAAAATAGCAACACTCGGGAATGGCAAGAAAAAGTTGCTTTACGCTATTTATTTACACGCAACACGCGAAAAAAAAAAAAACAAAAAATCTGTTATTGTTTTTTTTTTTTTTTTTTTTTTTGGTTCTTTGTTGTAACAACAAGAAGAGCAAGCAAGGCCTAGGAAGCTGCTCGTGGTGTTTGTTATTGTATTTGTTATTTTATTTGTTGTTCTTGCTGTTGTTTGTTGGACTCGGACTCGATTTCAGAATTGTAAATGAGGCAACTTTTTCTTACTACTCCTGTCAATGTTTTGTTTATGGCACTGGGCAGAGAGAGTTGCGCGCGCTTTCGCATCCGCCTCGCACGAGTGTCGTTGATGGACTGAACTTGCGTTTATTTACACGATGACGTTGTCGCCAGCCGCATGAGCTTTTTGGCTTCAGCTTCAGCCCTATACGCTTTGAAAAGCTCTACAAGTGCGACTACACAGCAGCAGCTGCTGTGAGTGTGTGAGAGTGTTTTGTGCTTACGAACAGTCGCGTCCAGCGCAATAGTGCGTGTTTAGAAAGGCTACATATGACGTTAAATATTAAACATATAATATTATTTATCTTTTCTTCTATAAGAATAATAGGTATTTAGTATTTAGTGCTTATCCTGCAACAACACCATATATCATAATAATGTAATAATATTGGATAGCTCAATATTATTAGTCTACTTTTTCGGGCTGCATCGTGCAGAGCTGCCGCGTTAGCTTCGCCGTGTACATGTGTGTGTTTGTGTATATGTGTGTGTTTCATGTTTTTGTTTGGTTTCTAAAGCTGGCGTTAGCCAAAGCTTGGCTGCATTCAAGGCAGCAAGGGTTTTGGTACAGGTGCGAGCGAGATGCTGCACGTGCTTTTTGACATTAGTGTTGAGCAACGTGTGAAAGCACGTGAGCAGGCAAATTACCGCCTTTACAGCTGCTGCTGCTGCTGCTGCTGCTTCTGCCAAACTGATTATTCTTACTATAATACAAATACATATACATATACACATATAGCTATACATACAGATATAAATATATATGTATGCGTCTCTAGTTGCGTAAAGTTGGTTTATTCATCTCTTCTTGCTGCTGATGCTGTTGACCTTACCTCGCTACATACATACATATATGGTAATAGGTTCAAGAATCAACAATACCGTTCCAGTTACCGTTACAGTCAACTCGACAGGATTACACATTTAAGCTTTTGTGCCAATTGGCGTCATTGTTTGAGGTTATGTATGCGTGCTGCCGAACCGAAGTGCGCTCGTCGTGTCCTCGTCCGTCCTCCCCTTTGACCCTGACAATGAGCGCCTTGCTATGTATTCATTTAATTTAATTTGTATCAGCTTAAGCTATTTAACGACCATCGCAACAAAACGGAAACGGAAAGGAATCACCCCACATTCCCAAACACATAGTGTGTGTGTAAGAGAGAGAAAGAGGGAGAGAGTGAGGCGAAGGTGGAAGCGGTGGCGGCGGCGGTAGTAGCGGCGACGCGTCGGCAGCGGAAGTCTAGTCATGCGCTTATTGATGTGTGTGATGTGACTCTTGTCTAGCCAGCCAGATCGTGTGCCACAGCCAAGAGTTTGTACAGTGACAGGGGCAGGGACAGACACGGCCTGTTGTTTGCATTGTTTTAAATATACGCTTTTTTAGGAGAAAAAGAAACGTAAGTGGATTAAGCTTTGCTTTGCGTTGGCTTCAGGGACACGCGAGCGAGTACACTACTTATATACTTACAGAAGGTTAAGACTATGTCAGTGTCAGAGCAAGGTAAATACAAAGCACAACAAATATACAAAAGACAAATAAATGTAAATACGTTTTGAATTGCGCGCGTTGATGGTACTGAACACAAGTAGTAAAATCGATAGGCACGTGTGTGCGATTAGTGCGATTTGCTTTAGCTGTATGTGCCATTTTTTAGCGCTTTGCCAATATGCAAATATGTATTCATAATTAAAACATTCAAATTACGCAAAGCTTTAAAATGTATACAACAAGATAAGTATTACACTCATATTTATTGTAATTCATTTATTTTAAAATTATGCGCACAGCTTGATAAAACATCATGAATCGATAGTTGAGCAATATGTGGAATCGTAAAACATGATTGTGTATAGGCACCAACTTGGTATAGGCGCTTTTCCTGCTGCAATTTAGGTTAAGTAAGTAAGAAACTAGTGAGTGATCAACTCCTATCTCATTAGAAATATTAATAATATATAATTCAACAAATAGCTAAAGGCTGTTCGTTTGAAATTACGCGCCAAGTTTGACCGTTCGATAGTACAACAATCGATAGCTCAATAACATGTGCGAGCAATCAGCTGGTTGTGTCATTTTTTAGCACATTTTTTGCTGTCGGCTTGCACAACGATTTTCAGGTGTTAAAAAAAAATAATTTATTAAATTCGCTCAATTCTAACAAAAATGAGACTAACTGACGTGCTATTCAAGAAAGTCAAAAGCAAGTAAGTAATTAACTGTCATTTGACAAAATTATAAGCAGCACTCATAGAACATTCTATCAATCGACAGGCGCATCATGGTGCTGATGGAGAGCGTAGTCAGCGGGCATCAGTTCAATCTCTTCCGTGAGCGGCTCGCAGATAAAATAGAGCTGATTCGCTTCGATCCATACAGTGAGTGACATATATTTCAGTTCGCTACCTACTGAAATACTAATTATCATTATTTCTCTTTCTCTAGTACAAAAGGAGAGCTTATATCGCGAGCGCAAGAGAATTCGGAGCGCTTAAACCGTTCTGCTGCTCTAAAGACTTCTCTAGTTTTCCATTCTTTTCCTTGATATATATATGAATATATGTGTATATGTAGTCGGTATGTCATATATATATATGTATGCACTGCATTAAAGTTCATTTTCTTATAATTGTTAATTTTCTGTTGTTCTCATAGTTTCATTGCATTTTATAAGCAAATTTTTATAAGACCAGTGGAGCTATTCATATGCTGTCTCAATATGGGTTATAAAATTAGCTCTTTTGATCTAATAATTGTCAATCTGAAAAAAAAAACTCAATAATGAGGAACACCATATACATTTTTTATAAAAAAATACTTTATTTTTCATTCGCGTTGGACACATTTCTTTAGAAGACATTTTGATTTGTTGAGTAGAGTTGGCCTTGCTGGAATTATAGCATACCATTACAGGATATGTGTGTGGAGTACAATTATATTATTCATTTATAGCAAAGTAGTGCAGTGGAGTACAATATATCAGGTCAGAATGTGTGTGCGATTAACTCGGTGTATTACAAAGTGTGCGGTAGTGTATGAGGGTGTATGGTTAGTTGTTACAGTTACAATTAACGAGGATTGTTTTAGTGTGCTTGATTAACGCGGAGAATCACAGCGCATGTTTGAGTTTGTGTAGGATGGGCTAGCTGCAGCCATTTATAGATACATATTTGGATTTATTTGAAGGGCTTCTCGGTCATGAGTAGTCCGCGCTCCCAGAGGGCCGTGGCCACCTCGATGCGACGGTCAGCGCTGCGCAGGGGCAGCTTGCCAACCTTCAAATAGGCCGGATAGGTGGTCATCAGGGCCTCGACGGCGGGCGCCTCAGTGGGCTGGATTTCCATGTAGTTGGGCTCGTTCTTGCAGTACTCGAGAGCGTTGTCCACGTAGTAGTAGACGCGCAGGCTGCTGCCGTCGGCCACCAGGCGCAGGATGTTGGCGCGTAGTAGACGGACCTTGGTCTTCTCGGTCAGCTCGTAGTCGCAGAGGCACTGGCCGCGGCTATCAGTCAAGCTGCGCGACCCAAAGACGGTGCGCATGCTCTCCTCGGGCTTGATGTAGGGCGGCAGCGCCTCGTGCTGGAAACGCTTGGCCAGCTGATCCACGGCAGCGTCGATCTGGGCCTCGGTGGGCACCAGGTAGCGCTGGACGAGTTGCTTGGTGCTATTCATGAGCTGGTCGCGCTGCTCGCTCTGCTGGCCGCCCTTGGCCAGGCCGACGTGCTGCCAGATGTGCAGCGGCAGCCCGCGACGCAGCGAAAGATGGTGCTTGATGGCGCGCTCCAAGACGGACGGCATCAGCACCTCCAGTAGATTGGCGTACGCCTGCTGCTGATAGACGCTGAGAGTGATGTGAAGCGAGTGCTGCTTCGGTTCGGTGACGGCCTGGTGGACGGTGCCGCGAGGGAAGTAGAGAATGTCGCCCGCCTCGAGGACGGCATCGAAGAGCGGCTGGCCTAGCTCCTCCTGCTTGTAGTTGCCCGAGGAGGTGCGTGCCAGCACATCGGACTGGTGCGGTGGGGCGTACAGGCGCCAGCGCTTGCGGCCCTCCACCTGGATGACGAAGGCCTCGATGTCGTCGTAGTGTGGCGCGAATCCCTGGCTGTTCGGCGGAGTCAGATAGACATTTGCCCCGACGAGGCAGTGGAAGAACTCCTGCATTGTGCTGCACAGCTGACGCAGCTTGGGCAAATAGGTGCTCGGGTTCAGGATGCGGATGCTGCACCCATCGCCGTAGTAGCCCCAAATGGCTGGGGACATGGCGCGGCCCACGGGATTCAGGGTCTGGCGCACGCCCTTCTTATAGGTGGTCACGTCAATGTTGGTGGTGAACTCCAACTGGTTCTCTATTAGCATCTCGTCAATCATCTGGAACGAGATCAGCTGGGTGAAGTAGTTTGGCTGCTTGCGCTTCACTTGGCATGCATTGCGCTCCCAGTACTGCTCGAAGAAGGTCTCCGAGGTTATCGGATTCAACAGCCAGTTCAGCATGCGTTTGCCCTCCTCGATGCTGTTCTCCAAATGCACCGGACCACGTTGCTTCTCATTGCCGGTCACCAGCTGTGAAACGTTCGAGCTCAGCTTGTTCTTGTTGTTGTTATCCTTGTTGTTGTTGGTATCCTTGTTGTTGTTGGCATCCTTCTTGTTGTTGATATCCTTGTTGTTGTTGGCATCCTTCTTGTTGTTGGCATCCTTCTTGTTGTTGGTATCGATGTTGTTGTTATCGTTGTTTTTGTTCTTGCTGCTAGACTTGCGCGACGGGGCCGCCATTTTGTTGGCCATCTTGTCGGCCGGAGCACTGGAGAGGCGGCACGATTTGGCACCGGTTTTGGTCAGAGATTCGCGGCTGCTCAGGCGGCACTTGTTCGGCACGGGCTTGGCAGCCGGTGCCTTGGGTGGCAGCGGACACGACTTGATCATTGTCTTCGATGGACGCGGCGGCAACGGGCACGATGGCGCCGGATCGGCGCGCTGCTTGCCCACCTGGGCTTGCTCCTGCTTCAGGGACATCTTCGGCTGCTTGGCTGCAGTCGGCTTATTCTTATTGTTGTTCAGGTCGAAAGGCTCGTTGCGCTTGGCTGCTTTGCGTGGCTCGACTTTAATCGGATTGGCGCCGCTGCTGCTGGTGCTGTTGAAAATGCTGCTCAGCGTGTATTCCTCAGTGAATTGATCTTCGCTTTGAGTTGTACCGTTATGCATGTAGCTATTACCGTTAGTGTCGCTCTCTTGGCCAACCACCATATTGGAGTCCATATCGAAATACTCACAACTGGCGCAGCTGCTGGCAGCGGCATCGCTGTCATCGAAATCATTCGAGTCACCATCGCTGTCAAAGTCAAAATCGCTATTGTTGCTATAATCGAAGCTATCGCCACTGCCGCTCATAAAGCTGTCTTCAGTGGAGCCGAAATCGCTGCTGTTTAGAAAATCGCTGTCGATGCCCGAAAAACTGCCGTTCGAGCTGCTCATTTTGGCGGCCTTCGGCTTCTGGTGCTGTTTGCCGTTTGACAGATTGATCAACGTTCCGTTATTCTCCTGCCCATTTTCTAGTTGCTTCTGCACGTTCTCTGTCACCCCTGCAGCTGACTTCTCTGGTTGCTTTTTAGCTATATTCTTCTCTCTCTTTGCAGCTTTCTTTGCTGCTTTGGCTGCGGCTTTGGCTGCTGCTTTATCTGCGGCTTTATCTGCGGCTATCTTTGCGGCTTTGTCTGCCGCGGCCTTTCGTTCTAATTTTCTTACCTCTCTTAGAGCAGCCTTTGCAGCTGCCTTACGAGCTTCCTTCTTGGCCGCCATAGCTTCTTTAGTTTTCTTTGCATTCTTTTTTGAAAAATGTTTCGCTATCTTCATTGTGGAACGCTTCGATGTCTTCTTTGGCGCTAGACCGTAAGCGGCGTACGCTGATATGCGGTCCATTTTCAAAAAAAAATTTTATTTCAAGAAATTTCACAAATTTTTTTTTTTTTTTTTTCTGTGACTTGTTACAAACTTTACACAAATCTGACAAATCTGAATTTCTCTCTGAACGAAAGGCACACGTGCTACCCGGCGAACTGTCTATATAAATATCGATGTTCCAATATATATCATAGTGCGTGTATCGATGATGTTCTTCGACAGATTGAATTAAAAATAATCAAATAATTGCGATAACTTCATTTTTAGGTTTTGGTAAAATTACCAATTTCTTTTTAGTAGGTGCAGTAATGCATTTGAATACATAGCTAAAAACAAAACAAAAACGAAAAAACAACAACAACACTTCATTAATGACTTTACCAAGCAAAATAAAACGTGTGTGGGCCACTAAATAAGCGCATATCGATATCTTTTTCACCCATAACACTGCATGCAAATGCGTGTTATCGATAGGCAAATGCCGGCTGTTTTAGTTTTGTTTATTTGCGAAATTATTGCGCCATGTCGGACGCAACCGAAGTGGAGACAACTGAAGTAGATGAACAGCCAGCGCCCGCTCCGCTGCCCGAGTCCAATGAAACCCTGGAGGACGAGGAGCTGGCCAATCTGGTCACGGCAGAGGAATATCTGATGCGCAAAGATGTCCAGCTGCTGGAGTACGAGAAGCAAATGTTTCTCGACCTGGTGCACGCCGACGGCCTGCTCGTAGCAGCCAAGTAAGCTCTAGAGTCTGCTGCACTACAACTCGCAGCTAATTCGCTCTTTACTCCGCAGAGGCCTGAGCTATGAGCGCGTGCTGCTGCACATCCTGAAGGTCTACAGCGACGCGGGCAATCTGCTGCTGGTGATCAACAGTGCCGACTGGGAGGAGCAGTATTACAAGTCCAAGCTGGATGCTAAATACGTGCACGAGGTGGCCAACACGGCTACCGAGCGGTAGGTGGCGCTTCTTGATGTCCAATTGCTCCTAATATGTCTCTCTTGCCTGCAGCGAACGCGTTTACCTGGAGGGCGGCATTCAGTTCATATCCACGCGTATCCTCGTGGTTGATCTGCTCAAGCAGCGCATACCCATTGAGTTGATAACGGGCATCATCGTGCTGCGCGCCCACAGCATCATCGAGAGCTGCCAGGAGGCGTTCGCCCTGCGGCTCTATCGCCAGCGCAACAAGACGGGCTTCATCAAGGCCTTCTCGAGCAGCCCGGAGGCCTTCACTATTGGCTACTCCCACATCGAGCGCACCATGCGCAATCTGTTCGTGAAGCAGCTATACATCTGGCCGCGCTTCCATGCCACAGTGCGGGCCGCACTGCATCCGTGGCAGGCGCAGACCATCGAGCTGCACGTGCCGCTCAGCGCGCGGGTGATCGCCATCCAGACCCACATACTGGACATTATGAACTTCCTGGTGCGCGAAATCAAGCGCATCAATCGCTCCGTCGACATGGAAGCGGTCACCGTGGAGAACTGTGTCACCAAGAAGTTCCACAAGATTCTGCAAGCCCAATTGGACTGCATTTGGCATCAGCTCAACTCGCAAACCAAACTCATCGTGGCCGATCTCAAAATACTGCGCAGTCTTATGATGTGAGTGAAATAATACGGGGCTTACATATAGAAAGAGATAGACTATGTTTTCTACAGGCAGGAATTGTATGGCAATGGAATAGATTCGACCTATCAATCAGACTTTGTTGGCGCATCAATTTGCTAGTTAATCAATGAATCAGTCTATCAATCTCTTAATCAATAGGAAATACTCTGTGTATCAATCTTCTACTCTATGAATCAACTAGTCTATTAGTCAATCAGAGTTACTCAGTCAATCATTCAGTTAATTATCCAATCAATTTGCCGGTCAATCAATTATAAATGATATTTAACTTAATCAGATAAAGTCTCTCGGTCAAATAATCTATCAGTCAATCGTTAGATTTGTGTCAGTCAATCAAGCAGTTAGACGATCATCAATCAGTCTGCCAGGGATCACTTAATCAGTACATCTTTAATCAGATTTTGTTATCAATCAGTTAGTCAATGTCAATCAATCAGACTTAGTCAATCATTTAATCATATAGTACATCTCAGTCAATCAGTCCGTTTTTCATCGGGTACTCACTTAGTCAATCAGTCAGTCAATGTCAATCAACCAGACATAGTCAATCAATTCAGCTAGTACATCTTAGTCAATCATTCATCAATCAATCAGACATAGTCAATCAAATAATCAGCTAGTACACCTCCATCAATCATTCATCAGTCAGTCACTCATTCAATCAATTAGTTAGTCTGTTTTAGTCATTCAACCAGTCAATCAGTTAGGCTTAGTTAACAATCAGTCAGTCAATGTCAATCAACCAGACATAGTCAATCAAATAATCAGTCAGTCACTTAACCAGTCCGTCAGTCACCTTATAGTCTCTCAGTCAGTCAATCAATCCAGTCAATCAATCAATCCCCTTCAATCACACACACCTAACGCAGTATAATCTCCCCAGATCCACGATGTACCACGATGCCGTCAGCTCGTACGCCCTGATCAAGCGCTACCGCAGCACAGAGTACGCCATTAGCAACTCGGGCTGGACGCTCATGGATGCCGCCGAGCAGATATTCGTGCTCTCCAAGCAGCGCGTCTACAATGGACAGAATGGTGAGCTCGCTGTCCATAAATCGTGTCACGCCATCTATATCTCTCTCTTTCCCTCGCGCAGAATTCGAGCCGGAGCCGTGCCCCAAGTGGCAGGCGCTGAGCGAGCTGCTCACGCAAGACATACCCGGCGATATGAGTCGTCGGCGAGGCGCCGACCACCTGGACCCGCCCAAGGTGCTGATACTCTGCCAGGACGCGCGCGCCTGCTACCAGCTGAAGCAGTACCTGACCCAGGGCAGCGCTCGCTATCTGCTGCAGCAGGCGCTGCGGCACGAGGTGCTCGTTGGCAAGCTGAGTGACGAGTTTGCCAAGCAGAGTCAAGGCGCCGCCATGGCGGAGCCGGCAACTAAGGCGGACGTCAAGGTGGAGCCGGACACTCCGGCTGCTGCTCCACCAGCAGCGCGGGTGCTCGACGAGCTCTCTCAGCTGCTGAGCGAGACGGATGCGGAGGCCCAACTGCAGCAGCAGCTGTTCGAGGAGAGCTACATGCTCACCATGACCCAGGCCGCGCCCAACGATCCCGATCCGAATGCCTCGATCTTTGAGATCATACCCGAACTGGAGCAGTTCGATGTGTCGGCGGCACTGGCCGCCCATCGACAGCCCTGCATTTGCCTGCAGACCTTCAAGACGGAGCGCGAGGGCTCCATGGCCCTGGAGCACATGCTGGAGCAACTGCAGCCGCACTATGTGATCATGTACAACACGAATGTGACGGCCATACGGCAGCTGGAGGTCTTCGAGGCGCGTCGTCGCCTGCCGCCCGATGACCGCATGAAGATCTATTTCCTAATCCATGCGCGCACCGTCGAGGAGCAATCCTATTTGACCAGTTTGCGTCGCGAGAAGTCCGCCTTCGAGCTAATCATCGAAACGAAGAGTGTGAGTGAAAGAGAGAGTGAGAGAGAGACGGCGAGCGAGAGAGAGCACTTAGATCTCAGGCGTGAGAAATTAGAGAAGGGGGGCAATAGAAGATGTACTAGAGAAGATTGGTTGAGGGTAAAGTGAGGGAAAACAAATCGGAAAAGTCTGGGAGAACTAATTAAAGCGAGAATAGGAATAGAGAGGAAGAGAGAGAGAGAGGGACGGACAGATTGTATTAGAGAGGAATTTTTAAAATATTTATATCTTTATAGAGAGTGAAATTAAGAGGAGAAAGTCTTATTTCGATTACATGAGAGGCGAGGAGAAAGGCGGAAATTAAGAATAATTGTAATCAAACAGTGCAAAGAGATCATTTCAAAATAGATATATCTTGAAAATATATAAATAAGAGATACGAAAATTTAGATGTATATGAGATTCACAGAGAAGGGCGATAGTTAGAAATATTCTTTTAAATTTTCCTTGCATTTGCTATGAGATGGGAGCACAGCTGAGGTATATGTAGATAGGGTATCTATTAGCCTGACATTGAATTGAAGTTGACTCCGGTTTCATCTATTCCTATAGAAAATGGTCATACCCGAGTATCAGGATGGCAAGACGGACGAAGCCTTTGTGCTCTACAAGAGCTACGACGACGAGGAGCCGACGAATGCGCAGACGCGTCAAGGCGCCGCCACGGGCGTGGCATTGGCCAGTGCACGGGTCACGCCCAAGATCATCGTGGACATGCGCGAGTTTCGGTCCGATCTGCCGTGCCTGATCCATCGGCGCGGCCTGGAGGTGGTGCCGGTGACCATCACCATCGGCGACTACATTCTGACGCCGGAGATGTGCGTGGAGCGCAAGTCGATCTCGGATCTGATCGGGTCACTCAACTCGGGCCGGCTCTACAATCAGTGCGTGCAGATGCAGCGCTACTACGCCAAGCCCATCCTGCTCATCGAGTTCGACCAGAACCGGCCGTTCCACTTGCAGGGCAAGTTCATGCTCTCGCAGCAGACGACGGCCACGAATGCGGACATCATGCAGAAGCTGCAGCTGCTCACGCTGCACTTCCCGCGGCTGCGCCTCATCTGGTCGCCCAGCCCGTATGCGACGGCCCAGCTCTTCGAGGAGCTGAAGCTGGGCAAGGAGGAGCCGGATGCCCAGGTGGCCGCCGCCCTGGGCAGCGACGAGGCCGGCCCAGCGCCGGGCGAGCAGCTGCAGTATAACAACGCCATCCACGACTTCCTGCTGCGTCTGCCGGGCGTCCACACGCGCAACGTGCACGGGCTGATGCGGAAGGGCGGCAGCCTGCGTCAGTTGCTGCAGCTCACCCAGACGGAGCTGGCCGAGCTGCTGCAGTCGCAGGAGAGCGGCAAGCTGCTCTGGGACATACTGCATGTGGCGCATCTGCCCGAAAAGGACGAGGTCGCTGGCTCCTCGGCGCTGCTGGCGGCGAGCAAACAATTTGGCAGCGGGTCACACAATCGTTTCCGCAAGGCAGCCAGCGAGGCGAGACGAGGCAGACGTTGATGCTGAAGGAGGAGAAGGAGGGGAAGGAGCAACAGATGGCAGCAAGTGGGAGGAGATGAAGTAAGCAGGAGGAAAGACTGAGCACGAGGATGGAGGGTGTCGAGTAGCAGCAGGAGAAGAGGATGACGAGAATGAAGAAGGCAAGACTGAGAAGAAGCAGCAGAAGAAAAAGGAGGCCAATGAGAAGGCGGAGAATGCGAGGAGAAAGTGGTAACTGGAACAGCTGCAGCAGCATGAGAAGGAGCACAAGGAGAGCAAGCAGTTGAAGGAGGAAGAGGATAAGGAGAACGTGAAGCAGTAGCAACAGCAGAGGAGGAGGAGGCAGAGGCGGAGGGGGAGCGTAGGAAATGAGAAGGCAAAGCTGATAACGAGATGCTCATAAAGCAAAGTTAATGCAATTTGTTCACGTTCAACGTGGGCAATGAGCGCGCGCGCCTTGGGAACAGTCAAGCAGGACAAACAGGCGCAGCAGACGGCAAGCTGTTGACCGCTGCCTACCTGAGGCAGGAGGCGAGTGGCCGCTGGCGGGCTAGCAGGCTAGCGGGCTGGCATGAGGGCGTGGCGGGGTGGCAATCGATTCGAATGCATTTTTAATGCTCCCACTGCAGTTGCACGCAATCGGTCGACTTCCTTCCTGCTCCCCAAGCGCTGTGGCGCCAACTGCCAGCAGTCCCAGCAATCAACAGCTGCACAGATGCGCGTCAGCTAGCTTTCCGATGCCTCAAGGCATATACCCTGTAATAATAATCGTTAGCTTATGCTATTTATATATATTTGTAAGAGAGAGAGAGAGAGAGAGAGAGAGAGAGAGAGAGAGAGAGAGAGAGAGAGAGAGAGAGAGAGAGAGAGAGAGAGAGAGAGAGAGAGAGAGAGAGAGAGAGAGAGAGAGAGAGAGAGAGAGAGAGAGAGAGAGAGAGAGAGAGAGAAAGAAAGATAATATACCCTGTTATAAGCTAGTTTATCGTATGACCTATTCACTACTATTTTAAAAAAATTTATACTGTTCCTTAGTCGGTTGTAAGAAAAATATGCCAAGCGTAAAGGCAAAAGCTAAAGTAAAGAAGAAACATGCACACCTACATATACCCTATAAATATTAAATGTCCTTTCAAATGCTATGTGATTAACTTGCAGTAGTTAAATATGGCTTGGATATACTTTTTATACCCTGAACCCATTGAAAATGGGAAATCAGGGTATAATGGTTTTGTTAAAAGTATGTAACAGGCAGAAGGAGGCGTGGCAGACCCCACAAAGTATATATATTCTTGATCAGGGCGACGAGCTGAGTTGATTTGGCCCTGTCCGTCTGTCTGTCCGTCCGTCCGTCCGTATGTATGAACGCGTCGATTTCAGAAGATATAAGAGCTAGAGACTTGAAATTTTTTTTCCTAGGTCCGTGTATATCACGCGCATATCAAGTTTTTCTTTATATATCGATAACTACTCCCGATATTTTATTATCGATCAAAAACCTTATCGAAAGCTAGTTATTTAATTATATCTCCCACACCTTTAGAGCTAGAGCCTGCAAATTAATGTAGACTTATATGTATTTTACATAATTTCGGTTTTTGTTGTAATTTACCCCCACTCTTATATCCACCCCCTCACCCTCACCTTTGTAAAAAGCGTACATATTTCAAGTACTAGAGACTTGTGCTTTGGAATAAACATACATTTTCACCATATAATTACGCCCTAAAAGTTTCATTAAGATTGTACGTTTAAATTATTCAACAAATAAATTCTTATAATGTTGCCCACACTGCAGCGCAGCCCAAGCGCAGTCGCTGCTTACTGCGCAGTCAGCAGATCACGTTCTAATAGGTTCGTTTGTATGTATGTGTGCCGAAATGAAGTGCAGAGTGATTCGAATATCAGATTAGAGGGTTCAGGGTATCTCCTAGTCGAGCAGTCTCGACTAGAGTCTTCTTGTTTTTATACGTAATTGCTTATCTATTTATATCTACCCTGTAAATTATTTAGTACACAAAGAAGTTCACAATATTGAATCGATTCGATTCGAATGGAATGAACGGATTACTTAGAATAAGATAAGAATATGCAGATAAGAATGATATTGAAATGTTATACCCTATACGCTTTTCAATTGGGGTATACAGAATTGTCTGCTATAACTAATTATTACTTATTCCGAAAGATTAGAGATCCGATGTATTATAGCTTAATTATAGCTTAATTATCTATATACAATACCCTATACAAGCTCTTCTTCGGGTATACACATTCACTTTGATATAGGATTTGAAATTCTGAAATGAGACTCGTAGCTGCCTACCCTATATAAGCCTTAGCAGGGTATCTATAACTATCTGAGACTGCGATTGCCTCAGATAGGATATAGTCTACTCTAAATTCTGCCTAGATTATCTAAGGCCCAACTGCAGGGAATCTGCTAGTTGCGTTGCATACATTCAGCTGCTGCGCTGCGATGAACAATCGATGAGAGAATGCCAATTCATGCCCCAATCAGTAACCGAATCCAAGTCAGAAATGGAAATGCAAACAGAAATAGAATCACAAATCTGAAACTGAATTTGAATTGGAATTTGAATAGCAAACGCGGCCGAATTTGGGGCCTCCAAATGATGCAGTCAATTTAAGCACTTGATGCGCTACACAAATGGGGCATTGCGAGACGGGCATGGCATTTGCCATAATAATTATTATTTCGGGGAAAATTTGGGAGTTTCTATAAAGTTGTTGACGTTGGTTGGGGATTTAGTTTTCTACCTTGAGAATTACTTCAATTAACTCGATTCGAATTCGAAATATATCTTCATCGGGATCAGCGTTTCAGTCAGCCTTCCGCATTGCCAAGAATTTCATGTGAATGTGTATACCCTGTATAGCCAATGAATGTTAATATGGGGTATATCGGCTCTATGGTACTTGATTAAAGGTGTGTACTATGAATCAACGTAGCACTCAATACTTCTCTATATATTCTTCATTCAACCTGATCTTCAGATTTCAACAAGACACATATTTGAATTGATCGATAAGTATCGATATGGATAGATATAGAAAATACTAACGAGTACTAATAGGTAGAAACCTTAAAGGTTTTTATACTTTTTAGTTAGCTTTGTCACTCAAAACAGGCGAATATCAGGTCAGGTCTATCTATCTTCTAGCTCAATTGTTGATATATGTATTTTTACAGGGTATGTGATAGTCGCTTACATTGATTTTGTAGTCAGGCCGAAATTCGGCCAGAAATATATCAATCAAAGTAAAAAAGGTTTTATCTTATAAATGGTATCTGCTAGTCGTTCACTTTCCGCTATTGACGTAGTTTGGAATGGATTCGTTGTTCTCTGGACGCAATGTCAAAGCATTTTTGCCAATTGGCTGCGCTCAGTCGCCCTTGGCTAAGCGTGCTCCTAGCTGCCACTAGCTTCACCCCCCACACATACACTGGCCCCTCCCGCCCGACCACGCCCACACTGGTGGAAACAAACAACTGTATGGACGTGGAGCGCAATTAAAACAGCATTTCATTGCGAACGCGTTCGACTGATTTCTTGGATTGTTTTTCATGCAGTGAAATGCGAATGTGGATGCGGATGTAAATGCGGATGTGAATGCGGATGTTAATGGTGCTCTCTTTGGTTTCCAGCCCGTCCAGCGGCAGTCAGTCAGTGGGTCCTTTTGTTCGAGAGCCGCTGGCCACGGGGCACAGTGCGTTTCATTGGCATGGCGCTGGGCCAGAACAAACCTGAATTTAAGCAGCGCTGCAAAAGGAGTTGCATTAGTCGAGAGCCACAGGCATTTTTGCCGAAAACCAACTGATCTACCCTCGCCTCTACCCCCCCCCAGGGCGCCATTTGAATGGACTCTTTGATTTGGCCTGATTTGCTCCGAGATTTTTCGGCACAATTGTGTTTTGTTGTTTGGTTTACTCTGTTATGGCTTTCCCAGTCGAATACCCTAGACGTTAGTGCGGTGTAGGGTAGCTCAGGCACGAGCAGGAATAGAACCTCACGTAGAGGGTAGAGCGCTGGGGCAGTGAGACCAATTCGATTCGTCATCAACAAAATATATTTATTCAAAATACGTTTTAATTTAATAAAGATGTCCTTCCCGGTCAGAGAGACCGGCGGACAGCACGTATGGGGCTACGATGCGATTGGTCTGTGTCATGGAGGCGGGGTCCAGGATCCGAACGGTTGCTGAGTGTCCGGCCGAGGGGCAAGTGACAAGCGGCAAGGGGCAAGCCGGTAACCCACCTCTGAGTCCGAATTTGTTTTGGGGGAAGGGGGGGGTCGATGCGCTAGAGACATTCCTAGCGTGCACATCTGTTTATCTAGCTAGCTGCGCTCTCAGCTACGTCTGCGCCTCCTGTTCTTGACTCGTGAGCTGCTCAGTCGCGACTCGATGGAGGCGCTGCAGCTGGTGAACGCTGTGGGGTAGCCAGTGGAGCAAGGCTCGTCAGTTTCGTTGGCATCGGGCTTGATAATCGATTCCAGGTAATAGAGCTCATTGTCTCGGCTCACGAAGCCGTGCAGCCAGGCCGCGGTCAGCGTGTTGTCGACAGAGAGGCGTACGTCCTGAACGGACTTGTCCGCCATTTCGGCAACGTATTCAATTACCTCCTCGAGCGCCATGGGCCGACGGAACTCCATGAAGGCTTCCAATATCAGATCTCCATAGCGATACTTCGACATTTCCCAATCCTCTGGCAGCTCCGCTCTATCAAAACAAAATTTTGTCGGAGCTGTGTGTTATACTAAGTTAACATAATCATTAATCGCAATTTCCTATACAAACTCATAGGCTGCCTAGATCGGACTACCACATATGCAGATGGGGGGAAGCTTAAAGAAGGGGAGAAAAAGCGAGAGAGAGAATGAGAGAGCAGAAGAGAGGGAGAGAGGGAGAGAGAGAGATGCAGTTGACATGGTTAAACAAATTTGGGGGTCCCGGTAAATCTGCTAGAGGTTTCTCATAATGCAAAAGCTCAGAGTGATTGGAATCAATCAAATCTAAGAAACCTCATAATAGATTATCATTGATTTTGAATAGACATATAGTAGCCATAGATGATATACTGGGAGCTATAATGGATTGGAATATAACATCTTATAGAGCATGCGGATATGGTCATTTTCCAGCTTTTCCCCAACTCCATTGTAAATAAGAAATATGTACCCATTCTAGATGGTCCGTATGTACCAGCGTCCGTTCTTTCATTCTTCCGCCTCTCAAAATCATGTATGTATAAGAGTTTAATGATTGGAGCATCAGCCCCTCACTGGGTATCGTATAACTACAGCTCTTTTCATACTCGTTTTCATCAGTGCGTTAGTTCAGTTCTAGGTGAATAACAGTAAAATTTACCCTATGATAGGCCAAGTTAGTCCTAACAATTTTCAGATATGTCAGATTTGTTTATAGTTGATATCACACTACCTTTGAAGAAGTACAAAGTATAAACCTTAAATTCCACTCCCCAACTGTTATATAGACCGCAGCGACCTAGTACTCCACATTGGCATTTTATATACAATCGAAACTATTTCCTTTAGCAGCTTTAAGATGACTCAAAGTGCCTTCCAAAGACATTTACCTGTTCTTTGCTTGTCGGGGCTTAGCGACAATTACCAACCATCCAAGCCACCCATCCAGCTCCTCAACAGCAACACGAGAGGGCGGTGCGGTGCGAGGGGCGCTTGATGTTTTTGCCGTCGTGAGACTGGCAATGTTTATGCTCATGATTATTTGCAGTTGCTTCGTTCGTTTCTACTTTTCCGCCAAGGGGAGCTAAGTGCTGTGGGTGCTACCGCCCCTGCCCCTGCCCCTGCTCCTGCCCAGCTCGACGCTAGATGGCGCTGCGCGATTATTTCGTTAACATTTACACCGACTGCAGTTAAATTGGAGCGTTACGCTATTTTTGCCCATTTTCGGCAATGCTTGGCCATTTGACCTATTTATACAGCTGTTAGCGTTTAGTTGCGAGCGGGTATATTGGTTTGCACAGCCAACTTGTTGGGTGTTTGATAGAAGATGAAGTTTATATATGCTTAGAGTAGAGTATATCTTCTAGATATAAAAAGTAAGATGCATTGGCCACATGTATCTATTGACAGACTTATTGAGTTTCTCTCTGCTTAAAGCCAGGTAGAGCTTGTCCTTTGGGAGGGTGCTTGATAGGAGATCATGTTTATGAATGCCTAGTCTATATGTGTATGACTTCTAGATAAGGTAAGGATCATAGCCCATGCCTCTTAGGGCGTATATCTATCGATAGGATTATTGCATTACCTATAGCCTAATTAAGCTAGAGAGAAAGCTTGACTTTTGGGTGGGTGCTTGATAGGAGATGGTGCTTATAAATGTCTCGTCTACATATGTATGTCATCTAGATATAATAGGTAAGGTGCATAAGCCACGCCTCTCAGGGCGTATATCTATTGATAGGCTTACTGCTTTTCTTAAAGGGTGGGTGCTTGATAGGAGTTGCTTATAGCCAGGCTAAGCTAGAGGTATAGCTTGACTTTTATTTGTTTGATAGTAGATGAAATTATATACATATGTCTAGACTCCAAAGTATATCTACATATCTTTTAGATATAGAAGGTCACGTCTCTTAGGGCGTATATCTATCGATAGAGTGAATGCTAAGGTACAGCTTGACTCATAGGTAGGTGTTTGATAGGAGGTAAAATTGATATATATCTAGTCTATATACATATGTTTTCTAGATATAGAGGGTAAGCTGCATAGGCCACGCCTCTTAGGGCGTATATCTATTGACAAAGCTATTGAGCCAGACTGAGCTAAAGTCAGCTTTCACTTTACACGGAGACAGGGTATTTGTTAGTCGACTATGGCCGCTTGCCTCACGTTACCTACTCACTTGTTTAATCTGGCCTAGTTGTTATTTCTGTTCTGGCCTCTTGCTGTTTGGGCCCTGATGGCCGTTGTGTTTCGTGTTTTGTATTTTGTGTTTTGTGCACTTTAAGATTTGTCATTTGCGATAAGCCAAGGAAAAGCGTTTAAAGTTTTCAGCTTAAAGGCAACTTTTTCTGCTCCGCCTTCATCTTCATCATCATCATCATCATCTTCTTCTTCTTCTGCTTTTCATTTGCCTGCTGACTTTATTAGGCTTTGGTGTTTGCAGCTGCAGCTGCTTTTCGTATAATTGAAAATTTGTTAAGTCGTTCGCTTGTAATTGGTTTAGTCACACACACACACACACACCAACACACAAACACACATATGATGTGTTTGAAAATTGCTTTTAATATGCTAAAGTCTTTTGGCTTGTGGAATATACGAGAGATATCTCCATCTCGATATACAACATATCTGGAGCTGTATCAGCTTTTGCTGTTGAGCTCTTTCAATTTCATTCTTCGCTTACTGAAATTGTGGGTAAATTTTGTATATTCGCCAAGCCAGAAGCCTCTAGTATTGGAAATAGGGTAGACAAAGCACGAGATACAGTTTTATAGAATTTTTTTTGTTTACATATTTTATATTTAAAGTAATTTACAGCAAATATATTTTAAAAATGTTTTTACTCAAATAAAAAATTATAATAAAATTAATCTCAATAATCAAGCAAGTAAATTCCATTTTTGAATATGTAAGAAAAAATGTTACGAAAATGTCTTTAAATATGTAAGCGAAAAATAATAAATGCTGTAGCTTTAGTTGTTATTGTTGTTGTACTTGAATTTGCTGGCGAAATACGATTTATGGTCAATTGTTGTTGCCTTCAATTTGTCTGCCACTTTGGGCCGTCAAGTGGAACCGGCTGCAGGCTGCAGGCTGCAGGCTGCATTCAGCAGGCAATAGATAGCAGGCGTTACCTAGTATATAAATGCAGCCAAGTATGAATAACGATAAGAGCGAGAGCTGCTCATGGAGTAATCAAGTCTAGTGCACTTAATCTAATTGGCATACGAATTTGATACCTTGACTAATAGGTAGAGATTGTTGATATGATAGGAATATCAGTGATTGACATAGGGATAGCTCCTCGAGGGTTTCTGGTTGATGACGAAATAAAGAAAAATGTCAGGGATCTGTTTAAAATATTGCTAGAGAAAGGGAAATTTGAGTTACTCCTCAATATACGTAAAATCAATGATAATTGACATTGAGCCAACTCTTTGAGTGCACCTCGTCAAAAGGCTTTAGGCTCTGAGAGTCAACTGCATTGGAATCAAAGTTAGAAAGCAGCTAGACGTATTATTTTGTTGATATCAAGGTCGGACTTGACTTGTTCCTTGTATTTGGTTAACTGTCGTTGCGGCCCTCGTTGACGTTTCCCTTGGAACGCAACGCTTGCCCATGAAATGTGTCAAATTGCTCAACAATTTGCGTCTCTCTAATGAATTCCAGCCAAAAATCGATTGGCAGTCCTCCCCCGACAAATGGGCCTCGGCTTTGACTTTGACTAATGGAATTCCATCAGCATCGGCTTACAGGATGTGCAATAAAATAATTGCACGTTGCCATGCAGTAATTTAAGTGAGAATCAAACCCCAGCTCCAACTCTCGATAGACGAATTTTGTGTCAATTAAAATTTAGAGTCAAAACATTTCATTGCGATTTGATTAAACGTAATTCAATGTATTTGCTCCCCCTCCTCTCTCTCTCTCTTTCCCTACTAGCATCTATCTCTATCTCTCTCCCACACCTTGCGCATAATTGCAGCGGAGCACTGCCGTAGCTTCATCTGGCATTCGCTTTGTTTGCATTAATTATTTTAGCAAATTCCTCAATCAATTGAATTCCTTCGGAAAAGCTTAAGCTGTTTACAGTTATGCGATTTCGACCACAAATTGTTTAAGGCATTTATAAGTGAATTCAATTCGATGGAAAATGTAAAGAAGATAATGTGTTAATTAGAAAATAAACGGATTATGATTAATTGCCCTACAAGAGACTCATTAGGAAAAGTGAAAATCGTGCACGAAAATTCAGTTGATGAAATTGGATTTGATAGATATTTCCTTATATAGAGGATAGGGAATTTCGGAATGATATTATGAGAAATTCTCAGTATAGCCGTGTCGTATCAGTGCGATATTAGACTGTTGTTGAAGTTGCAATTTGATATCTTGATGAAGTAGTGTTGAGAAAGACTGGCAGTTCGTGTTAATCGATTTATTTAGTATTGTAGTGCAATTAAAAGATGTATTGCCGCTAAAAGAGAGACAACAATAGCTGTTGCTGAACGTGGTCCTGGGTGTCGTTGGGTGAGAGCGAGATGGCTAGTTATGTCGTTCGCAGCAGGGTCGCAGTGCTCTCGATGAACAAGAATATGCGACCAGAATTAGAGGTTTTGACAGTAGAGGAGAAATCAGACTTGGTCAAAGGCTACTGAAAGAGAAAGAGCATTTGACAAGAGTTTGAAAAGAGAGAGCTAAGATGGAGAACAAGAATGAGAAACCCAACGCCTCGACATATATACAGTGGTTCACAGTTTATTTCAACCAGCACCTCAAAAAAAGTTTGTTGGTCTATAAAATCTAAAATATTGGGGATATCGGGGAAATTTAAACACAGGCTGCTAATGTGATGTTTAAACTAATACAGAATCAATTCATTTATATTTTACATATATTTATATTTAATAATATTTAAAATTGCTTAAAAACTACAAAAATGAGACCAAAACAGTTCCACAGCTTATTTCAAGCACTAATGAAATAAAATTATTAAAGCTTTATGTTTTTTAAGTAACAAAAAATTAATATTTTGTGTGACCACCCATTTGGTTATCTACCATTTTAAGCCTTTTTGGGATAGACTCCACCAAT